CAGATATGTAATTATTGGCAAATATGAATTTGTTGCTGTCATTTTTGTTATGTGCTTTTTCATGGTGTCTATTTCTTTGTTCCATATAATTTTCTGATTATATGCTGAGCTCATTTTGTTTATGAATCATGTTATCGCTTCCTTCATTGCTATCGTTTTAGTATTTGCTGAATATTTATGCTGGTCCTCTTTTCTGATGTGAAGGTTTATCATTTTTCTTTGAGGTTACCCTGTGATTGATACTTTCTTCCCAAGTTCAGAACAGTCCGTTCTGTCTTGTAGTTGTCTTGACTTCCCTAACATCTAGAAGTTCTGTAACGACAGTTTTTTCCCTCTTTTTGGTTTGTAGTTGTCCTCATTTGTCAATTGATGCTCTAGTTCTCTATTTACAATCTCGTAGCTTATTTACTTTGGATCCTTCCATAGCTGGGTTGGTTTCTGGGTTATATCATCATGTGTATTAATTGTCAGTTGTTGTTTGCTGTTGTTGCTCCTCTGTCCAAAGAACTCCCTTTAGCATCTCTTACAAGGTTGATCTGGTTTTAACAAATTCTCTTAATTTCTGTTTATCTGGAAATGTCCTAATTTCACTATCATATTTGAGGGACAATTTTGCTGGGTACATGATTGTTGGTTGGAGATTTTTCTCTTTCAGGATTTTATATATACCATCCCTTTGTCTTCTCGCCTGCATGGTTTCTCCTGAGAAATCTGAGCTTAGTCTTATTGGTTGCCCCTTGTAGGTAACTTTTTGTTTTTCTCATGCTGCTCTCATGATTCCTTCTTTGTCATTGCTTTTTATGTTTGATGATGATATGTCTGGATGATTTTCTTTTGGGTTCTATCCTGTTTGGGGTTCATTGGACATCCTGAATGGATATATTCTCATCTGTCATCATACCAGGAAAATTCTCTTCCAACAAATCTTAGACAATTTTCTCTGTGGTTTTATTTGTCTTTTCCTGTTCTAGAATTCTGATGACATGTAGGTTATTCCTTTTGATGGTATCCTATATGAACCTTAGGCTTTCTT